ATCTGTATATACACATATATATTATATATATAAAGGGAAAAAAAAAACCCTTAATCTTCCAGAGGATTACTTCAACACTTTTGACTTCAGAGAGACTGAAACTGATTCTCTTAAGCAACCAGCTTTAGCCTAAATCAGAACTCACATCTCCACCAATCTGAAAGAAGCTTTTTCAAAAACTTATACTTTCCAATAGTTATATGGGCCTTAATCCTCTTGGAAACAGTTTTAGATCACTATTCTGGGAGTTATTAGGTTGGAAAACAGCTTCTAGGCAAATGATGCTATTCACAAACCTTTTACACCAGAAATAATGGTTGGATTATTTCTGCCTCAAAAGTAGTCTTGAGGTCTGATTTCTGATTTTCTTTGTATTTGATGTTCCTGAAAAAAGACAAAGCTATTTGCTGTTAAATAATAAAATAATAATAATATAATAATAATGACAACAATAATAATAATAGCAACAGTAATAAATTTTGAATACATAAAAGTAATTTTAAGAATTATAATGGCAGTAACAAGAGCAAGTTTGGTTTTTAAGTGGAAGTGAAAAAATAATATTTTATCTCATGACTTCCAATGCTCTTCTATGTTTCTAATGCTTTGGTGTTTCCCCAAAATAAGAGTTTCAAAGGGCTTTTACAGATCTTAATTTTTTCCTCATGTTTTCTAAAGTGTTATTCCTTTTTCTTATCCACTGGCATCTCACAGCAATAGGAAAATAAAAAAAAGAATAGTATATTGAAGTCTACTCTTTTGGCAGCAATTGACAGAAGGGTGACTACACACCCCCGAGTCTGGAAGTACGTAATTTCCAGGACCTTTGAGAGCACTTGCTGTTTCCCTCAAAACTTATGCTTTGCTTCCATCTGCCAATGCTCTGTAGAACAGGCTGACCAGGCAGCTGAGCTCACAGAACCATCATCAGGTAATCAAGATATTTGGAAATACAGAATTATCTCAAGACTATCTATTTTTTTTTTTTTTCTAACTTGAACACAGGAAGTAGATGGGTAATAAGTAGTTCAGTATTTCCTCCACCTCAGATAGTTTTCCTTTTTCTCTTGGAAAAAAAAATAAAAATCATGTAACTTGAATTTTCAGTAAGAATACAGATATTTTAAAACTTCATTAATGACACAAGCCAGCCTTTTCCTCGTATTACATTTTTCTCAATGCTTGCACATACAACAACAACAGAAAGACAACCAGTCATGGAGATATATCAAGTTGATTTTGCAATCCTGCTACTAGTTCCTACTGTTATGCAGGTCTAGATCTCTGACACATGCATCTAATGGAAACTATGGAGTTGGTGCAAGCCCAAAGCAGCCCCAGCAACTGGGAGCCTGCAGCATTCTGAGCACTTCCACAAGCACCTCCACATCACCTCTCTGTTTGTTAGAATTAGCAGGGTATAAACAGACACGTTAAGAGTCCGGCCCAAAAGCTCTAAGTCCTAAAGGCTCTCATGAAAAGTTTGCCACTCTTCCATTTCATAGTGAAAGTGTAAAACACACACACACACAAAAAAAAACAAAGCCCAAACCCAACCTAACATATAACCAAAACCTCACCAAGCCCATAAAAATTAATCTGTGCTACACTATGAACTTTGTTTCCTTAAAGCAGATCAAATACTGACATTTCAATGGCAACTTTTCCCCAAGTAACGACTTCAGGATTTACCCCATCACTTTTACTTATAGCTGTATATTCATGTCAAGTACCCACAATCTTCTTTTTCTCAAAGAAAATAATTTAATTAAAAACTTCAAAACCTGCTTTCTGTAAACTGGTTATTAGTAAATGTTCATCCATTAGTTCTTACCCTGAAGATGGCAATTCTATTCTCTGCGGAACAAGGGGATCATAGTGGGAGAGCATCACAAAAACTGAGGCACAAAAAGAGCAGCACCATCTCTGACTAAATGTTTCACTGAGGAAGTGATATCACAGAATACGGTGGGCCAATGCATTCTGTGATATCACTTTCTAAAGTATATTAAAAACTTATTAATTTGCCTAGATGACAACTTCACCATCATTGCTCAGGAAAAATCCAAAAACCTACAGGAAAGGCCTTCTGAGGTTATCAAAAGCCAAAGAGACATAACATAATTAAAAAGAAGAAAAGAAAAAGAATTGTTTCATTTGTTGTTCTTAGTTATATTAGGAATAAAACACAGAACTAATGTAATAATGTATCCCAGCAGTTCAAATCTTCTAATTTATGTAGAATGGATTATTACTTAGACAATCTGACCCTGGGCAAAACTTCCTCAGTTGAGAAGATTTACAATCTAATTATGCAGGAAGTTCTGCTGAGACAGTTTGGGTGCAATAGGCTTCTATTACATTAGCTTAGCTAAAATTGCTGCTTCTTCGCTTGCTTGGTGTTCCAAGTACTCATATGAAAACAGAAAATCTTTCATTCATATCCTTTATTTCCCTTTAGTTTTTATCACCATTACTGTATGCAGAAGCACTCGTTCTCAACCACAAATGGCAGCAAGAGGCTGAGGCTGTTAATGGTAAACTACAAGCTGCCTCTCAGGCTTTTGCTTTGGATTCTGTTTAGTGAACTGACTTTAAAAAAGGACCATCAAAGTGCTTTTCATAATTTTTACAATGATAGTTGCTGGGTTATTACTCCCCTCCCCTATTGCAAATGACCCTGTAGAAAGCCTGAAGCTGAAATCTGTTTCTGTACTCTTTCTTTTTCATCCTGCATACACGAAACTAGTTTATTTTTGTAAGGTGGCTCAAAGATGCTTTGCTGCTGCCTCAGACACCTGAATATTTTTAGCAATTTATTTCATTAGATCAAAAAAAGATCCCTCAACATATACAAAAATAGTGAGAGTTTTACAAGCTTGTAGAGAAAAAGATGGGAAACTTAGGACTAACATAATCCAAAGCCTCATTTTTTTTTCTCCTAGATATATTACTGTGTATTGACATAGTTGAATATACAGATTTTCCTATATTAACATAGATGGAGAAATTGGTGCCTTTTATTCTTTACAGTAAGTGTTTTGATTTCAAAAGGCCAAAGGATCATGTCACGGCCTTAAGTCTCGATAATTACCATGTGTAGTAATGCACATTTTTATCTACAGGTGGCAGACCTTTTAAAATCATCTTCAATCAAATTCATTAGACATTTTTGTTGATACCACCACCCACATTAAAAAGTAAGAAACTGAAGCATAAAGTTCTAATTAATGCTGTTCAATTTTGAAGACAGATTTGTCAACGAAGTGGCTGAATTCTCAAAGGCTAGTGACCCCTCTCAGAATGAAAGCCTTAAAAAATAATAATAATGTTAATAAAAAGAAATCAGTTGCCCAGTACATGGTAAGCTTTTATTATTTAAAAATCATTCATTGACTCAGTAAAGGATTTCTTTTTTTCCTCTAAAGTAGTTTTGCTTCCTTGATCATTAAGCACTGGCTAGTGAATTAGTGATTTCTACTTTGATAAGCTTACTTAGAAGAGGGAAAAAATGCAAGAATTTCAACACTGACTTCTGGCAGTTAGTTAGAAAAGTAAATTATAAAATTTGTTTGTATCTGAATCAACCATCTTAAAATACCATGACTTAGACTGTCATCTCTTTTGCGTACCTAAGGCTTCACTATGCAGCAGAAAAGCACTGATTTACACCAAAGTATTATCAGTCAATCATATAATCCTGCATTCAAACTCAACTGGAAATTTTGTCCCAGTAGGACAGTGGACTAGCCTTCTGCAGTGGAATAGCCTTCTGCATGTGGACAAAATCATGCCTAAATAGAGAAGGCTGTCCCAGGGTTTCATCTAAGCCCAGAAAGCCAACCGTATCCTGGGCTACATCAATAGGAGTGTGACCAGCAGGTCGAAGGAGGTGATCCTGCCCCTCTACTTTGCTCTCATGAGACCTCACTTGGAGTATTGTGTGCAGTTTTGGGGTCCTCAACATAAAAAGCACATGGAACTGTTGGAACAAGTCCAGAGGAGGGCCACGAGGATGATCAGGGAACTCAAGCACCTCCCATATGAAGACAGGCTGAGGAAGTTGGGGCTGTTCAGCCTGGAGAAGAGAAGGCTGTGTAGACACCTCATAGCAGCCTTCCAGTATCTGAAGGGGGCCTACAAGGATGATGCAGAGGGACTCTTCATTAGGGACTGTAGTGATAGGACAAGGGGTAATGGGCTAAAACTTAAACAGGGGAAGTTTAGATTGGATATAAGGAAGAAGTTCTTTCCTGTAAGGGTGGTGAGGCACTGGAATGTTTTGCCTAGGGAAGTTGTGAATGCTCCATCCCTGGCGGTGTTCAAGGCTAGGTTGGACAGAGCCTTGGGTGACATGGTTTAGTGTGAGGTGTCCCTGCCCATGGCAGGGGGGTTGGAACTAGATGATCTTAAGGTCCCTTCCAACCCTAACTATTCTATGACTCTATGATCTAAGAGCTGCTCCAAAATCCTCAGTAACACTGGCTCTGGCTCTCTACTGGCTTCCACACCTTTTCCTCATTTCCACCCATGAAAATTGGACATAAATGTTACCTATCACTGTGGCTGCACTTCTAATCCTGATGTGGCAGCAACTGCCAATTCTCTTGGACAAATTTTTTATCTTGTCAGTAAATTTTAAAGAAAAAAAACCACCCTCAAAAATCTTTTGATCTTTACTGTTGTTTTTTTTTTTCTTATAAATTTAAATATAACTGTGAAGCAGCTTCAATGAGTTAACAGAGAGAAACTTAAAACATTTACACTGGAAATACACACACTGGAGAATATTCTTATTTACTATCCTATATACCCAATCCTCCCCCTCCTACCTAGTCTTAAAGAGTGGGTGAGAAAAATTGTGTACACTAATGTCTTTTGTGGTAACCTAGTAACCTTCTCCTTTTTCTCCACAAGCTCTTCCTTCAAACCACACTCTTCCATGTTGCTAGCCCTCCAGAGTAATTGCTGTATGTCTTTATATGGTTTTATTTTCCTACCCAATGCAGGAAAGTTGGGGTTATTTTCAATCTTCGGAAGCTTGTAAACAGGATCAAACAGGAGCCCGGTCATCAGCAAGAGGAAGGCTAGAAAAATAAAAGCAAATGCATATCAACAATTTGATTTTATAAAGAAAATACACTCAAAACATGAAACAAAAGCCTGGGCTCTGCTAGACATCCCCCTCCCCATTCCTTTTTGTTTAGTTCATGAACTCCTTTTTGCAGAACAGAGGCTGGTGTAAATTAATGTGTGACCCAAAATATGTCACATGGAAAAGCTGCCATAGAAATATGTAATAGCAGAAAAAAAAAGGGATAAAATAGACATTATTAGAACTAAAGTGGCACCTCTTAATAAATCAATACAAAGATTCAACTAGGAGAAAGATGCGACTATATATTCCTGTTTCTTTTGAGTGTTTAAACAGCTAACCTACAATCACCAATTCTATTTTTATAGAACTAGCCTAACTTGCATGTTTAGCCTGTTTAGCACGGTTAATGGTGCGAGCGTAGTACCATGAGCAAGAAGTCCTCTGCATCTGCCTCTATTCTCAGCAGTCACCCTGTGAATAGGAGGGTTACTCACACATTTACTCTGTGACTTCAACCCCTGCCTTGAGATTCTCTGAGCTGCACCTGAGCTTCCTGCACAGGTGATAGTGGCAGGTATGACAAAGCACAGAACTTCAATGACTAACATTAGACAGCATGACTTCTCAAACTTCACCTTGTCCTCCACAGTTCAGAAGTGCGATGCACACCACACCACCCTGGACACCCCTCAGTTGTGGCTGCTGCTGTTTTACCCCCAAGCCTTCAGCAGAGAGGGGGAAAGTGTTCTGTGGCACACGGTATACATGCAAGGGATGCACAAGGTAGGAGCTGGGACCCCTTTGCAGAGGCCCGTGACACTATTGCATGGAAGAGAGCAACTGGGCAGCTGGACCCAGGTGGCCCTGCCACAGGCTTTGTGCCTCTATTTATCTGGTTGCAAAACTGGGAAAATAAGTGTCATGTGACTCAAGTACATATAAAGGCAGTGATTCGAGACCAAAAAATCTCTAGTACTAATGTTATTTAGCTGAATCACATGAACACTGTTGCATAAACATATCTGAGACTATACTTGTGACATGACATGCCGAGTTCTCACAAGCCGAAGTCAGCACCATCTCAGGTGTGAAATAACTGCTGTCCTTCCAGTCAGGTTTTCCACCGCTAACCTGTGTTACAACCTATTAATATCAATCTAGTCTAACCAAAACAAATAATTTGCAGTATGAAACACATATTAATAAAAATCAGTAAGAATTTATTTTAAAACTACAAAACATACAGTCAACCAAATTATGAAATCAGTAACATCAATATATAAACCCAGGCACTTTCTCTACTGGTTTAGCTTGATAGAATTTGCCAGCCCTACAGTTCTGAGAGCATTCTGTGAAAAGCAGCAGCATGTAAGACTACAACCAAGTGCAGACTGGTGCATGAGGTTTCAGAAGACAGCCATCCCTGTTCATACTGAGCTCTGCATGCAGGCAAACTATGTGAAGATGATAAACCTCAATTTCCTATATTATTTTTGAGCAATAGATGGGCAAACAGAAATGTGTTTTGAAGTTTTGTATAGAAATTTCCTCAAACATGAATTGAAAGATGAACATTTCTATACGCTTTTCCAAATAAATCCATGTTGAAGAAGGGGAAAAAAGTCTTCATTGAAGATAAGTCATCAAAATTTCCTTTTACAAAAAAAGTCAAGATCTGCAGGTCCTATCAGACTACCTGATTACCAGCATCTCAAAGAACCAGAAAATATTAATTGCTTAACTCTTGTTACTTGGTTATCTTATTAAACATTCATCAACTAACTAGCATAATGTAAAATTTGTCCTTCATCTTCCTTCCCTAACCAACACATCATTAATATAACAGACACACCCCAGGAGCCGAGGAAGGAACCAGACCCACTCAATTCACATCCATAAACCTAGACATTTTTAGATTCTAGATTGCTGAAGAAGCCTTGCTCTCTGTCTCCTTGTACTTCCTCAGCTATGGTCTTGAGCAGTGTGACAGAACCAGCAGAAAAAAAAAAAAAAAGGACTTGTTGCTATGCGAAGAAACCTAGATCCTGCTTGCAATTAAATTCACTTTCATCTTAACTGTTTTCCACAAGATGCACCTAAGAAAAGTTATACTTTTAGCTCTTTCTTTTATTTTCTATTTCCAAAACATGTCCTACAATGTTTTCGTTTCTACAGAAACAGGGTTTGCGGACCTTGGGAAGACTACGCGGGCAGCATTCCAGAAACAGCAAAGACCTCTGTGTACAGGAGTTAAATGAATGGAAAAGCACAAAACAGGAGACTGAAGAAACCCTTTCCCAAAACTATCCCAGTATGAGAGAAAATTTTAGGTATGAAGAAGTCTGAAAGTGTAGCACATTCTTATGAAGACTTTTACAACACTGTTATAGAGAGCAATACATCATATACTGTATAATATAATGTGCTAAGTTTTAAGTATTGTATTATATTTTACTATAATGATATTTTTTTAGCTTTCCCTGTATTTTAATAGTGGCAAAAGCAGATCAACAACCTCCAAGACAGAAGTGATATATAACAACCTGTGACAACCTGTGACAATAACCCCACCTCAAAGAGGCTTCCACTGATGCAGTCTGCAAGTTCCTTTGTCCTATTCAACCCTTTGTCTCTTTGTTGAGGCCATCAGGAAGAAGTTGGAGAAAAATGTTGTAGTGGCTTTCCTGTGAAGATGTTAGCTTGTGATAGGTTTTTTAGAAAGCAAAGAGAGCAAAGCCACAAAATTACTCTGATCAGCCCTTCCACAGCAGGACTTTCTGAAGGCACAAGGGAAAAGGGCGGGCAGATGCCAGCCTCCATCTTCTGAATGCGGGCAGTCCCATAGTGGTGGTGGGTGGAATTTCATCTCAACTAACTAGGCTGGGTATGCACATAAGGCAATCTCATAACCTAACACAACCTTTGCAAAGTAAAACAAGGCTATTGCAAACATCTGCAGGATCTTTCTCAGGGATGAAAAAAAAATAATAATAAAAAAGAAATAATCAAATGCCCTGCCCTCCACCCAGTGTGCATAGAAACTGCAACCATTTACGGTCACTGTGACTCATGTCTCTCCGCATTTCATCTCTGGTTAAAGCTGCTTCCAGTTATACACAGTGTGGTGCACTATGGTGAACAGGGTGAGAGTAACACAGGAACATGATGTTTTCTGCATTTACTTTCATTTTCACAAGAACTTTCTGAGGTTTACAGTTGCTAGTTTTTAACTCTTCAAGTCTTAAGTGTGCCCATTAAGGTTGAGGTGAATCAGTGGAGCAACTAAAAGAAACTGTGTTGCTACACCTTCTGCAGATGAGGTCTTCAGCGTCTTGGGGTATAATCTGGCAAATTTTTATCCACTTTGAAAAAAAAAATAAAATGGTACATGTATAAGAAAAAAGCATAACTGTTTTTGAAAACCTGCTGTCTTCAGAGAAGACATTACCTGCTACTTTCAAACTATGAGCTCTCATTTCACAAGCCAAAATCTGATGCATGTATGGGCCTTTCAGAATATAGCTTTTGACTGCATGAACTAGGAAGAATCACTAGCTGGCTCTGGTTGTTTTTCCCCACTCAAAACTAGTCTGAACAGAGTGGGTTTGGGGTTTTGTTGCTGGTTTTTGTTTTTAAAGTCTCTTTTCTGCTAAAAAAATACCAGCCAGCTTGTGCACAATTACCTCCTCAACATCTACCTGTTCACATGGCTGAGCAACAGAAAAGTCCAGAGGAGTGATGGGTTTTGTTTTTTTCTTATTTCTCTCTTTATCCTTTTTTTCCTTTTTTTTTTTTTTTAATCTATTTGCCAACCAGAGTCATTTATCCCCTATTAGATAAAGTATAATAGACTATACCGAAAGGGTCACTGGCCTTCCATTTAATGATATTGCCGGCACCGATCTACATTTTCCCGACAGTGTCCCTCAACACAGAATAAATGGCTGATCTCTTCACAATAACAGCTGATTTCTCTTTATTAAGCTAAAAAGGTCACCATTTTCTACGGCTGGGCCGCCCTGCACTATTGATAATTTTATGCATAAACAAATGGCAAATTTGTGCCACATAAATATGCATTAGCAATTACTTTTTCCTCGGGCAACGCTCGCCGCATGCAAATGTGTCCCTCACAGGGCCTGGTGGCTTTTGTTTTAGCTCTTGAACAGCTAAACAAAAGAGCACAATAAACAGTTTAAAAATTGTTAATCAATCGGAAATGCAAATGCAAAGGTAAATGGCAAGAAACTTGCCCAAACAAATAAAACTAAACCAAAAAAGCAAAACAAAAATCATACATGGAAATATATAAATTGAAAGGACTATCTGTTTCCTCCCCCCACTTGCATCTTCAACTTTGGGTTTTATTTCTTTTCAGTAAAGAGAGATAGCTAAGGTGCTCTTCTTTCAGCTGCAGTGGAGCTGGTGCTAGCATGGTCCCTATATGGGAGCACCCAGAATGTACACATGGTCAACCCATGTGCACACATTAAGCAGGACCCACACCTACATCCAAAGAAAGGAGCCAAAAGAAGGATGACTGAGGAAACTCACAGTGGTTTAGCTTTCTGTGATCACACATTTCCATCGTAGAATTTTAAAGAAAAGTTACATGTGAAAGAATCACTGAAAAAGCTTAAGCATCTTCTGTAAGCATTGACTTAGGATTTCATTACTGGAAGTGCCCAGAAAATACCAACTTAGTTGTGCCTACATGGAGATGTCTGTAGCAACAGCCTAATGAACGTTGTCACTTGAGAAAGTTGAACTACATATAATTTCCTTCACCTGGAGGTCAGAAAGCTTGATTTTCCCTTGTCTTACCCTTGGACTACTCATTTCCGACAGCAAGCCATAGTTGCATATAAGATGCAGGATAAGGGAAAAATCAGGCCCAGACACTAAACTGGTATGAACACGGAAACCAAAATTGACAATTTTAGGAGAACTGATGATTGCTTTGAATTTTCACCTTCAACAGAGAAGCTT